TTTTATTTTGTTTGCATATTAATTATTTTGGGTAAAAAATCGAAAATAAAATTTGGACAAGTGTAACGGGCGTAACCGTCATTTGAAACCTTTATCTCATAATTTCATAAATATTTCGGTGCTAAAACGTTTGCTAATCATTTGCTAGATCCGTATATACAAGTATTTTTCCCATTTTATCGATAAATTGTCCCATATTTTATTTATTAATAGCTTTCAATAATCTAGTAACTGGCGCAAACAAGAACAGCGCATGCGTATCGAGTTGCCTAAAAATAACCAAAACTAAAGTTACTAGATTATTGAAAGCTATTAATAAAATTTGAGACAATTTATTGGTAAAATAGAAAAAATACTTGTATATACGGATCTAGTAAATGACTAGCAAACATTTTAGCACCGAAATATTTATAAAATTATGAGATAAAGGTTTCAAATGGCGGTTACACCCGTTACACTTGTCCAAATTTTATTTTCGATTTTTTATCCAAAATAATTAATATGCAAACAAAATAAAAATAAATGCAAAAATTAGCAAACGACTAGCAATCAAATGACGTATTTGAAATTATTGAAATCGTTAATTCGACAGCTGGCTTCATACCGGTGGCACACTGTTCGAATGCGGACCACGTCTAGATGTGGCATGGACTATATAGATATATGGTTGGCAAATAACAGCCTGCTATATTGGCGGTGGGCACCTGTGTGCAGGAAATAAAACCATCAAGATAGAATAGTAAGAGGACATTGCAACCACGTACAAAGAGGTGCTCCCGTATTGGACAGCGTAAGAGCTTATTGTATAGGGAAAACGACTCGCTCGCAAACGTGTACAGAGTTATAATTAGGAGTGCGGGGATAAAGTTTGTATCTGCGTCGCGCCCCGGAAGGGCACACCTTGCACTGCAGTACTGTCTATTATCGCATTAAGTCATATTTAGCGTTTATTGTTAGTTAATTATTATTGGATAGATTAAGTTAAGGCTAGTGCACATGAACATATCAATTCATTTGTGGATGTAACGACTCGGAGCGTGGGACGACCGTTGAGTGTGAGTCGAGTACTAACTCCTCCTCCGGCATTCCGATACGGCGGAAACTTCGGCAGCAACGCTTTATTCATTAATTCGGATCCTTTCTTCCTTGGTGCTACGCCATTCTAAGGGCGTACAACGCTTTTTACACAAGAGAAGTGGGATAGAAGACGAATCATAAATTACATTCTTCTCCTGGAGGAGAATTTCTTTACGATACCGGGACATCATCGTATTCCAACCAGGAGTGGCCTTTTGTTAAGCCGCCCTCCTATTGCCTGACTGGGTCTCCCCTGAATACAGTCAGAGGGTAAGAGGCGAGAGCGGTTCTCTTGACAAAAAAACCGGGCTATACATTTATGACATGAGCAAGATAAAAGGAAAATCACCCTCGGATCTCCGAGGAACGGCGCATGGGGGATTCTTGTCCCTGTCCCCCTGCGTCGACAACCAATGAGGGGAGTGGGGCGGGGGTTACGACGAGACCCTCGCCCAAACCTGCGATCGTCAGAGTGGAAATGGTTAAGAAGGGCCTGAAGAAACATGGACTCCGCCCAGGCACCAGCAAAGAAGAAACGCTGACAAATGAGGATTGGCATAAGGAACAGGAAGGTACCGCGGCCACTTCGGCAGAGGAGCCGAGAAGCAAGAAGAAGAGCGGATGCGGACAGGATGCTACCGAAATAGAATATGTTTCTACAATCCAAAAAGGAGAACTCTTTAGACCATCGACGCCGGGAGGCCAGTGGTCGGATGAGGGGACTGGGTCCGTGGTTATGGAGTCGGGGAGATACTCAGCCTCGTCTGAAGATTCAGAGATTCCCCTCCCCCCGAGAAGGGGTGAGAAGAGGAGGAGACTGCAGATTCAAAGTTCCCCGGAGAAAGCAGCGAAAGGTGGTCCACCTGGCCTTCCGACGGCTGTGTTGACGGTTTCCCAGCGGCGGGTCACAGACAGCCGAGCAGAGGAGCTGAAGCATATGCCGTCTTGCGACATCGCGGCTCTTTCAACGGAGTGGCTAAGCGAGGCAGAGGATATGAGGAAAAAATCCACAAACATTAAGGGATCTATGACGCGTAAGATTAAGATAAACCTCCACTTGGCAGTAGAAGCAATAAAAATACTGGCACTCAGAGCGTCAGCAGAAGGGGACCCTGAGTACTTGAGGATTAAGGTGCAAGATCTCGAGAATGAGCTAAAGGAGACGAGAGCCCAAATGCAGATGCTAACTAATCTCCTTATAGAGAAAGGAATCGCGACACCGGGGGAGGGTGGGACAGGCTTGGCACCCCCACCCCCGATGCATACACCAGTAGCGGCGACAGCACTGAAACAGCCGGAGGAGGGTGTCACGCGTAATGGGGCTGAGGTGGAGGAGCAAAATTCGACGGCCTCCCCGTTGAGAGTCCTATTTGATAGACTGGAGCAGGGGGAGGGCTTCCAACAGGTTCCCCCTTCGAAGGCTGCTTACTCAACCCCCAACAGGGGGGGGGGAGGAGTTTCTGGCAGGGATCGCAGACACCATAAGCGAGGCTATCGCGAGTGCTTTCCGAAGGTATCTCCCCACAGTGATGGCTCAAAACAGAGAGTCGATAGACGCCAGATGGCCGAGGCTCCCCTGCTGAGGTTACCCTCTGAACATGGGCGTGACACCCGCGGCGGCAGCGGAGTCCCCGGTGATCGAGACGGACAATGGTTCTTCTAACGTCGCTCCGGCCAGAAAGAGGCAGCAGAAACGGACCAAAAAGAGTTTGGGAGAGACTGGGTCTCCGAGGGAGCGGGGGGGATCTGCTGGGGAGAAGCGACATACGGAGGAACCGGCGCCAATAAAGTTGGCAACGTCAAAGCCTGAAAAAAAGACCGGCGACAGAGGAGAAATAAGGAACACGCCAAAGCCAAAACGCAGACGACCTTCACGCTCCTCTGCGGTCACAATAACTTGCCCGGTGGGTGGACTGTCTTACGCCGAGTTGATCCGGAAGGCCCAAGACGTAATCACACTTGAAGAGATAGGTATCAACAACACGAGGATGCAAAATACGGTTGCTGGAGGGGTGGTAATCGAGCTCCCGGGTGAGGACTCGTCGCCGGCGGCAGACGTGCTGGCCTCGAGACTGAGAGAGACGCTTCATGACACGGGTGTTAAAATCGGTAGACCGATGTTAAGAGGCGACTTGAGACTATCCGGAATAGACGCCTCGGTCCAGCCAAACGAGCTGGCTGAAGCAGTGGCTAACACTGGGGGCTGTAATGTTGAAAATGTGAAGATGGGTTCCTTCAGGATAACCAGGAACGGAATGAGGACAGTTTGGCTGCAGTGCCCACTTTGGGCTGCTACTAAGCTCGCGGAATTGGGCAATCTGCGCGTTGGATGGTCCACATCCAGAGTGGAGTTACTGAAGCAAAGACCGCTTCAGTGCTTCAAATGTTTCGCAGTTGGTCACGTGCGGGATAGGTGTCCTAGTAAAGTTGATCGCTCTGGTAACTGCTTCAACTGCGGTGAGAGCGGTCACGTGGCTCGAAACTGTGGCAAGCCTCCTAGCTGCTCAGTTTGTAAGGAACGTAACCTGCGACACGATCATAGGGCCGGTTTGGATGTATGCCAGCCTTGTGTTACAAGGAATGAAATACTACAGAACTCAGGGAAAGACAAAGAAAGAATGGCCAATCGGAGTACTCTAGCCACTAGTTCCAACAAGGAGTAAGTCAGTATGCTCAGGATAGTTCAGATTAACTTGAACAGGTCAAGGGGAGCCCAAGATTTAATGGCATAGATCATGCGGGACAGGGAGTGTGTGACTGGCGTGCATCTCGGAACCCCACAGAATCCTGAATGATCCGAGGTGGGCATGCTCTGCCGAAGCAACACCACTGGCAGCTGTAACTTGGCAGGGATCGGATTCCAGCGCAGGGACCCTTCTATACCGAGGAGACGGCTTTGTAGTGGTTCACTGGAGAGGGGTGGTAGTAGTTTCATGCTACTTTTCCCCAAACAGAAGGATTAATGAGTTCAGAGCCTACTTGAACAGAATCAGTGACGCTATTAGGGATCGTTTAGGCGGTCCGGTGTTAGTCCTGGGGGACTTTAACGCCCGATCCCGCCTCTGGGACAATACTCGCCAGAACATCCGAGGAGATGCGATACTGGCGTGGGCCTCGAGACTCGACCTTAGGCTGCTTAACCAAGGCCGGGAATACACCTGTGTCAGACCACAAGGAAGATCAGTTGTGGACCTATCCTGGGCTTCGCCGGCGGCACTGGGGCTGATCAGATCGTGGAATGTGGCCGGGGAAGAAGAATCCCTCTCTGACCACAAGTACATTTTTATTGAGATCGGTGGGAAGAGAACTGTGGAAGCGTCGGGATCCAGGGTGTTTCCGAGATGGAATATGAGGACCATCAACCCGGATATCTTAAGGGCCTGTTTGGCCACATATTTTTGGCCTGCACAAAGGTCGGCCGATGTCGGAGCTGAAGAGGGAGCTGCCCGATTACAAGCGGCATTAACAGAGGCCTCAAATGCTTCTATCGAGGAGGCATAAGTCGGGGATGAAAAGAAAGGCAACCTACTGGTGGAGCAACGAAATAGCTAACCTCCGCAGGAACTGCAATTCCCTTAGAAGAAAAGTCACCAGGGGACGCCGCAAGCGACAGGCGGCTGTACCGGCGCTAGAGGCCGAGTTGGTGAAAGCGCGCAGAGCCCTCAGGACCGCTATTAAGAAGGCCAAGAACGGCGCCTGGAGAGAGCTGCTGGCCACGATTAACCAGGATCCGTGAGGTCGCCCATACAGATTGATCTTGGGCAAGATACGTCCGGCGGAGCGACTTGTGTGCGAGACCTTGCCTCCACAGGATGTGTCGCACATAATCTCTGGACTATTCCCAAAGGTGGAGGAGAAGCTAATGCCCAGACCGAGGCAGCAAGTGCAATGGGATGAAGACTTCCGGGTCACGTTGGAGGAAGTCGAATGGGCTGCAACCAAGCTCAAACGCAGTGGAAGGGCTCCGGGGCCGGATGGAATTCAGGGCGGAGTAATCAAAGAGGCACTCTCGGTGATAGCGGAGCCACTGACGAAGTGTTTAACGGCCTGCTTACGGGAGGGCGTCTTCCCGAAAATCTGGAAAACAGCAAAACTGGTCCTGCTAAAAAAGCCCGGCAAACCGGATCGGATACCGTCATCATACCGACCGATTTGTCTGCTTAATGAACTGAGTAAGATGTTTGAGCGGATACTGGTTAGGCGTATCCGAGCCTGCGTCTCGGAGGGAGTGGGCCTCTCGGAGCATCAGTTGATACCAGTTTGGATTTCGGGAGAGACGATCGACCATCGATGCGGTCCTGCGCCTGAAAAAACTTATCGAACCTGTGTATGAGCAGAAGAGACATGCGATTGCTGTTTCTCTTGATATCACAAATGCGTTCAATTCGCTTAGATGGGAGAGTATCAGACAAGCTCTAGTCAAGAAAGAAATTCCCAATTACCTGCAGGCGATTACGGAAGATTACCTATCGGACAGGTGGATTGCCTGGGAGGATGCACAGGGTCGAAAGCGTAGATCCCCAATGACATGCGGGGTCCCGCAGGGATCTGCGTACGGACCCGAGGCCTGGACGTACACTTACGACGAGGTGTTGCAACGGGAAATGCCAGCTGAGTGTCATACTCTCTGCTATGCCGACGATACGC